AAAAAAAACTTAAGTTCTTTTATAGGATCAACTTCTTAAGTTATAAGAAAAATCTACCTTGGAACATCCGACTAGGAAAGTGATAACATAAAAGCGGTTAAACTGAACAGAGTAAAAGAGATGTTGAAACCTTTCAAAAGTTAATCGCACAGCATAATCATACATTTTTCTTCCTACGACTCCGTCTTGATATTGTTCATCTGCTTGGAAAAGCGTTGAAAATTGTAGGACTTCAGTTCAAGGCTTTTGAAAAAGAAGAGATATTAGATTGAGCCGAAAATCTGGCAAATTAATTTTATTTATTATTAATATTTATAGTCCAGTTTTTCTTGATACACATACTTATCAATCATATCTTTCTCGCCAATCACAGGCTTTTCGATGCCCTTTAATAGCACCCACTGCGTGTAAAAAATGGGCGACCATCTTCGTGTTAAAGTTGATTATAGATTTTTCGCGAAGCTTGAGGACTCAGATAAGTGATTACCAAATGGTCCTAGGTCTGGAAAGTAGAATGAGTAGGCTAAGACTTTCCAGCGTAGTTTAGCCCTCGTTTGCACGAGCGCGCATCATCATGGAAGAGATGAGTAGAAATTGTTGCTTTTCTGAGGTTGGTGGCTAAATTTTGGGGTGTTGCAACATATGTAGGACTCCTGCACGGTTTCTATGGTGCTTTTTGCACAAGCGCAATCAAGTGATGATCTTAGGCTTAAGGCGTAATAAGGATACCTCAAAATCTGTTGATTTCCTAATGTCGATACAATGTATTGGTTCACTAACTTCAAATCTTTCTAGTTTTCTTTGAAATTGGAAAAGTAAACTAATAGTTCAAGTGATAGCAGTGGAGATATCCTTTGCAGAAAGTTCGTGAAGTAGCGGTAGAACAGCATTCGCCTCGTCAAAAACCTGTCGCTTCTGTTCCTCCTCCAACGGCTCCGCCACCACCTCCTCCACCACCGCCACCTCCAGCAAATGTTCTGATGGGATCTTCTTCGTCTAGGTTCCTCT